ATCTTACCTTAGATGAAATCTGAAGTGCCCCAATTTCACATTTCAATGATGATTTCAGTGAAGACTTCCAACTTGCTGAGTGTGAGTTCTGTTGGTAAATGAAGTTTTTATTCTTGTAAGAGTCTTGTATATATATGTTAAAACTCAGTGTACAAGTGACAACAGTAAATCCCATATGTTGGTTGTGAAACAGACTAAACACACTCGTCTCAATAATACAGGGAAAGCTGTGACATTCTCACAGTTGGGGGTGTCAATACACTGAAGGGCTTAAGTTTCGAATTCCAACATAAATCTTGCCTATAATGAGAGGAATGTGACCAGGACTAATCTTTTAAGTGCTATGAAGTGACTTTCTTTGTAATTTATGGTGTCTGTATCCTTTGGTAATCTCTTGTAACAGGATGTATCCTGTAACTAGGATCAGGCAGTGTTATTCAAACCACCTGTACTGTAAACTATTACATACATTCACTACTGGTGACAATTAGGTTTGTCTGTATAGTGAAACAACATACAAGGACATATGTTGAAATAAACTTGTTTGAAAGTTCAAAGAAATGATATTCAAGTACCGAAAAACTTTCTTACTATCATATCTACAATAATGTTTAAATGCGCCTGGCCTGCACTGGGCTGAACAAGAGTGACTCCAACAGGGGTGAGATAGTTTACAGCAAACGTACACGCTGCTAACCCCACGGTTTATTCGGCGCAATAAACAAAAGTACAGCTGCAATAAAACATAAACTTGAAATAAAAATACATTTATGAAACAACATTTAAATGTTTTTATGTACATATATAAACGTGAAATCCTATTTAAAAATAAAAAAATACTTGTTTATTGTTTAGGTTTACTTAGAAATATTATTTTCAGTCTTGTGTTTTACTTGAAACCATAAGGAGAGTACGTATTATTAAAAAAATAAAAATAGACAAAATTTGCATTTTATGGACGATAAAATGTTTTTATGGGATTTCTAAATAATGTACTAAAACATAAAAAGTAATAAGTTCAAATCTGGAACAAATATAAATATCGTAATAATTTCTTATAAATACCATTTCCTAATGTAATTTTCCAAGATAATAAAGATCATAATGCAAAAAACTAAATTAATCTAAAGTAACAGGATTTATGTTTATTAAACCATGTGCATTTATGAAAGTTCTTATGAAGTTTCATCCACTAGTTTTATTGTTGGAATGAAATATAGCAAGACTTGCATTGGCTACTTAGAAAGTTAGTAGCCGGTGGTCATCGGGTTAAAAGGTTCTCTCTTGGTTTTGTACGTAAGACCATAAAAATGATAGCCTTTATTAAGGAAAAATAGTATATGATTTAACAGTTAGTCATCTCCTTCAGGAAAATTCTCTCAAAACTTGTTCTTGGGGCTTTGATATGACTCACTACCATTACAATTTAATTTATATTAGAAACCACAAACCTTTCTCACTGAAGAGTAATATAAAGTAGAACTGCAATGCACAACACATACAACATGCATAAAATGTTTTATAAATTTGTTAATAAGTATTATGTACAGGACAAAAAATCTCTGATGTACAGTTAAAACATATATGCTATACCTAATGATTTCAATACACACACACATAAACTAGAGGAGGAGTAACTTACATCAGGTATGTATTTCTTCTTTACATTTGTAGATAATCCATAAGAACTATCTTCATTTTCATCAATATTATCTACAGAGGTTTTTAACTCTGATGCATCATGTTTCTCTACAGGCTTTTCAACATGATTACTGTTTTCAGTAGAAGAGAAAACTTCAACTTCAATATCCAGTGGTCTCTTCTACATCACAAATAAATAAAATAAACTCATTATGTTCATTCATAACATAATACTCAATACCAAATACAGAAAAGCATCTTTGCAACCATTAGTATTTCAGAAACTGTTTCCAGTAGGTATAATAATTAAAAGTCAATTAAATAAAATGCTGATGATTCTAAACACTCAGCATAATTAAAAATATGATACACAACAAGTCTATACATCAGGTAGTTAATTTGATAACCAAATTAAGCATTCTGTTATTGGCAAATATGCAGGTTAAAATTGACCCTTAGAACAGTGTTCCTCAAACCTTGGTATGTATGAGCCAAAAAAAAGAAACAAAACCCCAGATGCTTAGTTGCCTTACCTTTAGTAAAAGAGTTCAAACTTAATGACAATGGCAGACAGCCTTAGTAGCTTTGCTGTAACAAAGACAGGGCAAGCAAGTTTGGTGGTAGAATTTTTATTACTTACAGAGTTGAGATAATTAAACACAAATAAATGGAAACTAATTTTGACTAGATGATTATTTTTGTAACAATCAATTTAATCATAATTTCAATTAATCATTTTTTGAAATAATCACAAACACTAATTGTAAATTTGATTAAGAGAAATTCATATGACACTAATCAATATAATTTCTGCTACACAGGTAATAAATTAAATTGTCCAGTTCGAAAGACGGGTTTCTCTACAAAATTTTTTAAATGATTTGCCATAGGAAGCAGTTGAAATCAAGAGGCATGTCAAAAGTAGGTTTATCAAATAATTCCCTTTCTCAGTCTACAACTTCAGAAAATGTTGTCCTAGTAATAGTTTAATAAGGATACATTTAAAGACTTGGAAAAAACACTTACTAATCATATACTATTGTTGTACCATAGCACTTTAAAAAAAAAAGTTAACAAATATATTACATTAAACTTACACAACAGTTTTCTGAATATTTAATAGAAAATGTAACACTTAAGTTAAGTGTTAGTCCTTTCCTTATCAAGCACAATGAGCTCAATTTAAATGAACATAATGTTACTAGTTTTAACAAGCATCCTAAATTATGTAGATCGTCATTAATAAACTAACTATTGAATTGGTTTCTTTCACCACTTTTCTCGTAGCTAAGGTATTCAGAAGTTGTTTCCTAAGAGCTACTTCATCAATGTCATCCTCATCAGTATCTACAGTTGAACATTCCTGTGAACCACCACTTGTTAAGTAGGCACCTGTTCCTATCTCTGAAGGCTCTATAGAATAGGAAAAAACCACTTGTTAAGTAGGCACCTGTTCCTATCTCTGAAGGCTCTATAGAATAGGAAAAAAACACTTGTTAAGTAGGCACCTGTTCCTATCTCTGAAGGCTCTATAGAATAGGAAAAAACCACTTGTTAAGTAGGCACCTGTTCCTATCTCTGAAGGCTCTATAGAATAGGAAAAAACCACTTGTTAAGTAGGCACCTGTTCCTATCTCTGAAGGCTCTATAGAATAGGAAAAATATTTCTAGTTTTAACAGTGTATGTTGTGTGTTAAAATATATCATTATAGCATAATAAAAGATATGATTTTTCTTGCTTTGTTTATTTTAAACTAGAAGAAAATATTAAACATATTATCAAAACATTTAAGCTCAACCTGTAAACATTAGTTTAACAAACACTTGGTTACCATATTTTACAACAACAATAGCACAGGCTACAAAGATGTTAAGAAGATACCAGGTAGTTGCAGCTACTAAGTAGTCTACTAAATGAATGCAAATTATTGAATCTTACATCACTTGCAGTATCTTTTTTTCTAAAAAAAAGGCCAAAAACACAAAATATTTTACATTTTATTAAAATTAGTGATTCAGTTTAATGAACTAAAAACCAATTTACTTAATTTTTTTTATTTAACAAAAACAGTTTATGACATAACACTTATGAAAAATTTGTTGCAAACTACTGTCATGAAAATTCAAATTCTTTAACATGGAATACACAGAAATATACATGCTTTGCTTTTTTATTATTTTACTTTTTTAGGTATGCTTACAGCTAATATGTTTAACAGCAGCACAAGGTCAGTGACTTGTGTTATCATTTGCTTTATCAAATTAATTCTTTAAACACAGGCTTGGCTCTTCTACACATGCCACAACATTTCACAATGTTACTTTTAAAATTTAATCAGACAGCTTTATTATCAATACATGTCAATAAAATTAGCATCAGAGAGTAGTTTATATTTCAAATTTTTATATTATCTAAGTTTCAATTTATTGATTTCAAAAGAAATGTTTTAAAAGAATTCAACTGTTATTTCTGTGTCATATGATGCAGTTGCATTCTAAATTCTTTTAATTTGTATAATTTCCATATTTTAACAAAACATACATACAATTCCCAGGTCAAATGTGTATGTTCAATGTGCATATGTCTTCCTGTAGTGAGAAATAATTTTCTCAACCCATAACAAAGGTCCCACCTATCTACACTTAACTTTCAAGGTGGTTTTCAAAGCTACATGCTCTTATTTGACATACATGTTCATAAACAATAGAAAGAGTTTATTTTAAACTTTAAGCCTTCATAAGTCTTTAGATCAGTAAAGAATTTCATAAGGTACCTGTTGCTATTCCAGTTGATGCTCATACCATTTAAAGTTGTGGTTTTTTACCTTAAATAGCTTAATTAGAAAACCAGTTACATCAGCTGTTTTCAAACATTACATTTTAGTGATTTTGGTATTATGATTTAAAATGTATATTCAAAAGGTAAATGAGTTTTCTTTTGGCAAAGACTTAGATAAAAAAAAAAAAAAAAAAATTAGGGTTAAGTAAGTACAAATGCACAATTCCAAAGCTACATGTGCATGTATGTAAATTTTCCTACTGTGAGATGTCATTATTCAGGTATGCAAAAAACTAAATATCATAAAAGCCAGGCAATAAAAGTATTAACTTAGAATAAATATAGGTGAAAACATAAAAAGAGAAAATTCTGAAGATAAGGTAACAAAATTCATTCAAAAAGAAAAAAGGAATTGTTAATTTTTTCTCATAACTTTCAAAACTTCATATCACTGTAAATTGTTGATTTAGCTACAGTTAGTGATATGGTAGAGTGAATAACAGATAAAATATACTTTTACCTTAAGAAAACTTTTTTTATTTATTTAGGAGGTTCTACAGGTTATGCAAAAAAATATGAAAACAGTAAGGTGAGAAACGTATTTTATTCTTAGCATGAAACCACCTTCCACTCAGACTGACTTTGTAAAAGTTTTCAAAATTGACAGAAACATTTTAAATGCAAATGCTTTATTAAGAATTCAGATTTTTTGTGTACAACATATTTGTAATGTTTATCAAAAGCATGCCAAATTTTATGAAGATACACTTAGTAATTTCAGAGTTCTAGTATGTTAAGCATCATGTCTTTCAAGCTCATGTAAAATGATCAACCCGTGCTTGGAGGGTTAACAGATGTTGACATTTGTAGTATCTTCAAAAATACAATATTTCAATCCTCTTGATTCTGATGATCCAGTTCATTTGTAATAAGCTTTTTACACACTTCCAAATGAGAAAAAATAATGATGGCACATTAAATACTGAATATTATACTTTTCATACACCTCAAAATACTGTTTTGATAATTTCATGACACAAAGAACTACCATATTATGTACAAATGTGTACTTACTTCCACAAGCTTTATACTCATCATCACTTAAACTATCAATATCCATTTCAACCATTTCATAATTGTCACCTGACAGCACCTCTACCTGTTCTGGAGGTGGATGTGTAGGAGGAGGTGGTGGTGGTGGTGGTTCTGGAGGAGGTGATGATGGAAGTGGTGGACAAGAAAGCTACATTTTCATAAAGATACAATATCAACAGCAAGCCATTAACTAAAAAATATATATATCATTTAAGTTTACAAAATATTTTAATAACTGAAAAGTAATTTGAGCAACATAACCCAATCTCTCATTTCTAATTCAGAGTTGACAAATATACATACTCTTTTGGTGATATTACACATACAACACACACTTATGCACAAAATTCCTGTATATGTACATGTATTACTTGTCTTCCGTCAATAAACAAGATACCAAATTATTTTACTACTGGTGTCAAAAGAAAAGTTGCTTCTTTTACAATTTCTGTACAGTCAATATGACTCGTCACACAATTATAAATAGCACTCATGTTTTATTGTCAAAAATTAAAAACTTTACAAAGTTCACCTGAATAACTATAATTCCAAGTCCTTAAGTAAATCAGATTAACTAATTTTAATTGTAAACATGTCATGAATTATTAAAGATAAAATCAAAATGCCAAGAAGTGTTTAACAGTAGAATTAACTTGTACCAATATTTTCAAGCATATCCCTTCAAAAAATTAAATTCAGCAGTTCAAAAGTATAAAACCAAAATTACCTCAGCAATTTGAGAAGCATTTGCAAAGTGTTTGTCACTTTTTTCATCTTGGTCTTCAATTTTTTCCACTTTCTCATGTTTTTCATCTTTATCTAGAAGGTTTATTTTAATGTTAAACTTATAATGAAACTGCCTTTACTTTTACTTTCCTGAATAGTTAAGTATTAATTTGTTTTAATGAACATAACTAAATTTTTTCATCAGCAAGAAATTTAATGTTAAAAACAATGTGCATTGATTTATACTTAAACTTTTACAGACAAAAAATATTTTGATATCCTACAAAAATATATATCTAAAGCTTTTACCTTTGTACATTTCAGAACTAGTCTTTTACTTTTCCTTCTAGTTAGATTTTCTAGTCAATTAAAACTTAATTTAAATATTTTCCCAATTTAAATACTTATGCAATGATTTCAATGCACTTAAGAATATTTACATTTGTCAATATAATATCAATAAGAAAACTTCTACCTTCCAAGATGAAATTCTCTTTTTTTGTTATCTGGCGTGAATAGGACTGTAGGGCTATTTGTCGAAGACTTTCTAAGTCATCGTCTTCTTCTTCATCCCCCTGTTCAATGTAAAATAAAAGTACTATCATCACACACATTAAGTTTTATAATAGCTAAATAGACTTATTAAAAATTATTTGTAAGTAAATCAAACTATAAAAAATAACTTACATGCAATTCATGGATTACATACATCTAGCACTAAAATATTATTAAAAATTACATGACTATGTATATTTGAAAAATTAGATTTACCTTTACTTTTTAGTTCAACCGATTAATAACCAGAATGCCAAGTTCATAGACTTCTATTCTCAAGTCAAACAACTAATTTATTTGAAAAAAACTATCATCATAATAAGATCATCAATGAAGAGAGAAGGTTATGAAAAAAAGTTAACCCCATCAATACGGGTCTACGTATGGTCACGGGTCAAAGGCCATGTCATCACGTTTGTAGACTCACATTAAAAGTTTTATTGAACTACTATTGTATGAATGTATGTCAATAAGTTTGGTATCAAATTGGTGATTATAATTAAAATTTTAGTATTATACATTAGGTAATTTATTAATTTAAAACTAAATATTAAAAAAAACTAAATATCAACTTTTGTGTTGCAAGTGGTATGTTGAATGCAGAATTGGTTCAAATTAGATGTTTGTGATGTCCAAATACAAAGTCTATAGTTTCTTACAAATTAGATACTCAAACTACCAAAAGACAAGCTAGAATATAAGAAAAAAGAACCTATCTTTTCCATTTCCTGAGATATTAATATACTTATTGAATCAACCAAGGCAGCTCTGCCACCTCTTCAATTTTTGAAAATACTTGCTTACATATATCTATTTTGCCCAATGTGTATAACCAATCAAAAGCTCAAAATGTCACCCTAGTGGTTTTCTCAGCCTTTGTGAAGTATTTGCACAGGAAAATCTTTCTTCTTACGCTAAATTCCAAGCAGTAAGGTAAGACATTTGTGAGTTTAAAAAATTATACAGCTTAGTTACTAAGCTTGATAAATTATAGTGGAATTCTGTGGTATTGATATTGTAATTTATGATTTTTTTTTAATTTTGAAAAGCATATATAAAAACAAAAAAAAATTTTGTTTTACATCCTCCATGTGCAAAATTTGATAAGGCTTAGAAACTTGCAGCAAACAGCAAACAAGTACAAAGTTCATACCTAGAAGAGATAATTATTTTCTATACTTCATTACTTACTGTTATATGTTTTAAGAAATATAACTGAAATTTAAAAACTTGTTTGTAAAAAGTAATAATGTATATTCATATAATGTATTATAACCAAAATGTGACTGTATTCTACAAAATACTGGTCCACTAGAACACAGCCAAGACAAGTCACTTTGTAAAGGCCAGTTTTATACTTTTGGATATGGTAACATGATTGCACGTGTGTTGTGTCATTATAACTTCGGTAATGTTAGTCAGGCAAAGCTGAAAGGTCAATGAAATAAAAATAATAAACATATACAGATGTATAATGTTACAAGATTTTAGCTATTTAGAATACACACTCGTGTTTGTGTTATAATCTGTAGTCATTCTAGAATGAAAAATGCATAATTTATATCTATTTCCTAATTTTTTATGCTAGAAGTCAGTCAAATCAACCAAACCCGTACAGAGATAGAATAGTGAAAATACTAGATAAAATATATAGGTTTCCTAAAAAAAAAAACATTTGATAATTATCTCAATGTTATAAATGTTTTGCATTTGAAAAATTTTCTGATGCATAAAAAGTATTTTTAATTTAAAATCAAAATTACTGTGCATGTTCAATAGTCAACATTTGAAAAGAAAAAAATGCACGAGAAAAACATTATTTAAAAAATCTTAAAACTTAATAAAACAATTGATATATTACATATGAAAGCCTTATAACGTTTACTGATAATCTGCAAAATTTCATATAGGTATGCTTACTGTATTAAAAGTTATAGCATGAAACTAACTAGCACAAAATGGTTACGAGATCGTTCCCTGTGATCAAGTTTGCAGTGGACATAATTTTTAGTTTGAAATGATTATATAAGACTGTTATAATCAAGTACAAGGAAACAAAATATGAAAACATGCTACAGAAGAATTAATTTAAACTATTATGAAAACATGTACACATACACATACAAAAAATAACTAAATTTATAGGCTGAGAAATAGTCATATATTACATAACAGGCATGAAATTTTAAATGTCTGCCCAATATCAAAATTAAATGTGACCAACAAACACATTATTAAACCCATTATTTAAAATGCCAAAATTTGTCATTTATAATAGTTTTTCTTACTGACAAATAAGTTCAAGTAATTGTTTGTATCATTAACCTTCATTAGTGAAATCTCGAAAAAATTAATTTATCAAATATTAAGCAAACTAAAATGTAAATAAAACTAATTTATCTGTAAGGTATGTAGCTTCCTTCCAGTTTAGATGGCTTTAACTACCCAAGGCTGCAGCTTTGTCAAATAGACTTGTTACTCAATAACAAACTAAATGTGCATGAGGAAGTTTTTGTTTGAAATTAACCACAAAGCTACACAATGGGCTATCTGTGCTCTTCCCACCACGGGTATCAAAACCCAGTTTCTAGCGTAGTAAGTCTGCAGACATACCGCTGTGCCACAGTAGGGCACGTAAGGAAGCAGAGTATTGTTGAGCTATACTTAATAACAAAAGCATGTGGTTTCTAAAAGAATTAAACAGTGTTGTGTAGACCTACATGTATTTTTAAAATGTAGTAAGCATGTGATCATAAGTCACAGAAGCCTACAGTCATACATAGGACACTCATAAAACAGTTTGTACATTAAGTATAATGTAAGACCTTTTGATACACAACTGTAAGCAATTGAAATAAAAAATATATAATGTCATAGTTGCCTTACCTAAAGATTTACAGATATATGACTTGCATACACAAGTTTACAGCCAACAAATTAAACAGTAACAACAGGCTGCCAACATATTAAGCACTATGACAGGTACATGCAAGTTATTTAAAGTTGATTCAGACTACAAAACCTTTTAACAGCCAAGAGGATTAGTTGTCCAATAATTTTTACATGGACTAATATTATTATTATTATGTGGGAATGCAACATTGTTCATGATTTTGAGCTCATTCACTTGGAAAAGAAATGTTAGATTTAATCAAACATTAATGAGTATGTATTACATTTATGAGCATAAATTGAAGGCTTAAACATACTTTCAAAATCAAATCTTATTTGTGCCCTGTTAAAATTTATTTCAGTTAGAAAAAGAAAAAAGAGCTCTGCTTTCTTAAAAGTGATTTTTCATGTAAATACAGAAAATTAGGATCAAAATGTTTGCAAGATACACAAGGCCACTTTTTTACTAAAGGTTTAAATGCCAGAATGTAACAGGAATCATTGAGTCTTACAAATATAACTATTTTTATCAATCTGTGTGAAATTTCATTCATAATAAATACACATGCTTGATATAATTACAAGTAACAAATCTGACATGCCCTTCAGAATTTCCAATCATCCATCTAATATAAGATCATTATTTCAGGCTAATTTTGAAAAAAGTAACACTTAAGCAGGTAATCTATTTGAAAAGTAATGGTGAGAGCAGAATAAAACTACGTGTAATAAAGATGCTTATGCCTTTGTATTACTGTTTCAATTATACCAAAAAATATAAGACACACATACTTCCACTAATAATGTTGATTAAATTTATTGTCAGCACAGATGACAGGCAATGTTTGACTTCAAAATAATGTTCTATTAAATTAAAAGATTCAGAAATAAAATACTTCTAAATCATTTTTGATTATTTTGGTATCCCAAATGCACTTAGTATGTTATATGCACACAAAACTTGAAACTACTCAAGCACAGAAGAACCAGATGGATAAGAATCCAAGCACCTTTGCTCTAAGACTTGTGATGTAAAAGTTAAATACATCTGATACAAGGAAACTCGCACCATTTTGTGTACATGAACATTTTGATAGCTTATCATCCAAATACTGTAGTAAATAAAGTATATTAGTAATGGTTAATTACTTTAACAGCTGCTGTGGACACAGGTGCTTCAAACAAAACATCTGTTTTATGTTCCTCATCTTCTTGACAGACAGGAGTTTTTTTCTCAACTAATTCTTTGGATCTGTAAGACTTTGACTTATCCTCACTTCTTTTGCCCTAAAAATAAAATCAATGGAGTAATGTTAAATAGAATAACAACACTAACACTATATTAAAAAATTAAGGACAATATACAAAATAATTGGGTAACACATAAATGGCTTTTGACAATGCATTCTGCTTCAAAGACAAATTGTTCATCAACCAAATATAAATGGAAAGACAGTCATTTATATCAATATTCTAGAGATAATACTGCAAAATAACAAAAAATGTAGCAAACAAAGGAAACAAGTGCATAAAAATGTCACCAAACAACCCATATAAAAACATTACTAAAATATATCACATGACATTCATTTAAAAATTACACATATGGAGAATAAATTCAGTTTAATACAGCATACACTTAGGCTGTAATAACCTAATTATGTGTGTAATAAATATATTTTACCACACAAAGGTAAATTTCAGTGATCTACCACTTATAGAAATACCAGCATGTTATCCATATCTGAAAGCTGTTATTACTGTCTGAGCTCATGTTGATAAAATTCATAAGTTTGATCACTGATTTCTTTGAACAGTGTTATTTTTATACATTAGTATTATAAAACAGTATAGTCTTTGTGCCTTAAGAAGATCTGTAGAAGACCATGGTCACCAATGTCCTGCTCAGATATGGTACGTGTCATGATACAAACACTAAGTGATACCATACAGTATCACAATACAGGTTGGCAATATGACACATGACATACAAGTATCACAACAAAATTTTCTTCATTTCATTATTTTTTCAATTCTATATTTACTATGTCTTTTTCATTTTAATTAATATGGTATCAGTAAAAAATGAAAGCTCACAACTCAACTAAAAGCCTGAACATTTATCAATATAAAAAATTCAGGATTAATACACAAATAGAAGAATAAAAAATTTTGCAAAATCACATATCTGATCATAAGACAGCATATTTCAAATGAATGAAATAATCTAAGAAAGAAAGTAAACAATTATTCTTGTTTCTAACAAGAAACACGAGGCAACTGAAATAAAATGTGAATCACCATAGTCAATTATTACAGAGATTTAAAAATTTACTTACGAAATATATCAGTGGAAATAAAAAGAAAGAAAAAGAAATAAAATAAAATGTACAATGATTGATATTTTAAGATTTTTCATTTAGAAATGTATTTCACAAAATTGAGATCACTAGAATGCATAACCACCTTAGTATTCTTTCAGGTAAATAAAAAGAGGATGTACTTGGCCATAAACTTAAAAAAAATTTGCACTTCGAGGACATGAAACACAAATTTTTTTAGGTTTTATATACACTTTTGAACAACTAAAAAAATCATAAATTACTACATTAATACCACAGAATACCACTATAATTTATCAAGCTTAGTAACTAAGATGTATTTTAGTTTTAAAAAAGTTCATAATAATAATAATAAAATAAAATATGATGCCAAGCCTGTTAAAATGTTAGAGAAAGACACAAGTGGAACATTGAGTTTCCCATTAGTTATTCATGTCATATATATAAGGGAGTATTTCCAAAAATGGAAAGAGGTGGGTGGGGTGCCACTGTGTTTAATTTATTACATGAGCAATATCTTAGCAAATTGGAAAGAGGCTCTTATTTTATATTCTAGCTTTTCAATATCAGTAATTTGAGTTTCTAATTCATACAAAACTATGTTGATTTCACAAACATCTAATTTGAACCAATGCTGCATTCAACATACCATGTAACACAAAATTGATGTTTATCTGTGTTTTTTAAATATTTGATTTTAAATTAAGAAATTGAGTAATATATAGTACTAAAATTTGAATTATAATCTATAGTTTGATACCAAAGTTATTGACATAAATTCATGAAATAGTAGTTCAATAAAATTTTGAATGCGAGTCAACAAACAAGATGCCTTTCACCCATGACCCATCTCTAAAGGGTTAAATGGGTGGAATTTAACGTTTTGAATGAAATATTATGGATAAATAGAAAATATAAGGATAGCACAGCCACTGTATAAAAAGCTGTAAAAATAACTTGATAACTTGGGATGACTCAAGTACAAATGAATAATGATAACACTTTAGTTCAACCATCTAAATATTTAAAACAATATTAAAATATTTAAAAAAAAACAATTATTTATTCCATTACTTAATGTAATAAAAACTTTACTACACAAATTTTTTTATAACTCAAATACAACCACAGACAAGTGATATCATTTAAGTTCTTGACTAAAAATAATGAACTTGAGTAACTGAATTTTTTCTTTATCACTTAAGTTAAAGATTCATTAACAAATGAAGCCCCCTAAACTCCCCCAGACTACCTATTACTTTTGAAACCTACACTTCTACTATAAATAATAATGATAGATTTGATTGCTCCCTCAAGAGTTAGCTTAGTTAATGATTCATGCTTGTAACATGCACAATCTTTACTGAAGATAAGTTATGACACTAATAACTGTTTTGTTAACCTCTGAAGCCCCATGGCATATATGTATTAAATGGGGTTCAACAGGATGCCCATGTTGTCAGCTACAGTTTTAACTCTCTCAGCACAGGCTCGGTCCCACGGACCGACCTCGTAACCATATTCTGCTTGTTATAGCTTTTATGCTATTAATTTTAAATTAATAAGCATATCTTCAGGAACTTTTGCAAATTATCGATAAACACTACAAGGCTTTCATATGCAAAATGTTTATTGATTTATTTATTAAGCTTTACAATTTTTTAAGTAATGTTTTTCTCTTGCCTTTTTTCTTTTTGAAGGTTGACTATTCAACATGCAAGGTAATTTTGATTTTAAGATTAAAAATACTTTTAGGCATCAGAAAATTTTCAAATTTCACACGTGAAATCTTTATAACCTTCAGATAATTATAAAAATATTTTTAGGAAAATTTTTTTATTTTATCTGTTATTCTCGCAATTGAATCTCTGTATGGGTTTGGTCGATTTGACTGACCTCATAACCATCATACAAAATTAGGAAATAAATATAAATTATGCTTTTTTTGTTTCTAGAAAGACAACAAATTACAACATAAAAACACAAATGTTTAGTCTAAATAGCTTAAATCTCACAAAATTATACATTATATATTATTATTATTTTTATTATATTAACCTTTCAGCCATGCCTGGCTAACATCGCAGGAGTTGCAATGACAAGGCACATGTGCACTCATGTTACTGTATCCAAGACATTAAAACTAGCCTTTACAAAGTGACTTGTCTTGGTTGCATTTTAGTGGTCCAGTATTTTGTAGAATACAGTCACATTTTGGTTATATTATATATGCATATACATTATTACTATTTACAAACAAGTTCTTAAACTTATTTTTCTTAAAACATGGAACAGTAAATAAAGAAGTATAGCAAACAATTATCTCTTCTAGTTATGAACTTTGTACTCGTTTGCTGCTTGCTGTAGGTTACAAAGCCCTATTAAATTTTTCATGTGGAGGATCAGAAATAAAATATTTTTTTAAGGTTTTATATATATACATCTTGAAATAACCAAAAACCATAAATTACTATACCACAGAATTCCACTATATTTTATCAAGCTTAGTAACCAAGTTGTATTTAGGTCTAAAAAATATGAAATTTTGACCTCACTAAAGTCTCACCTTACTGCTTGGAATCTAGCATGAAAAAACAAGTTTGCTGCCCAATTACTTCAAAAAGGCCAAGAAAGCCACCAGGGGGACATTCTGAGCTTTCAATTGGTTATACACACGTCACTGAGCAAAATAGGAGTACGTAAGCAAGTATTTTCAAAAATTGAAGAGGTGGGCAAGGCCATCTTGGTTGATTGAATAAATATATTAATATCTCAAAATAGAAATAATAGGAGGTTCTTAGTATATATCATAGCTTATCAATATCAGTAATTTGAGTATATAATTCGTAAGAAACTACAGACTCTACTTGGAAATCACAAACATCTAATTTGAACCAATGCTGCATATCAATATTTTATTTTTCTGTTTTCTTTTAAATTTACCTTTAAATTAAAAATTAACTAATGTATAATACTAAAATTAGAATTATAATCTACAATTTGATACCAAGCTTATGGACATACATTCATAAAATAGTAGTTCAATAAAATTTTGAATGTGAGTCAACAAACGTGACGGCATGGCTTTTGACCCGTTTCAATAGGGTTAACCAGTGCAAACAATCAAGTAGCCTTAACCAAGGATTCAAAACTTACATGTTGAGTCCAAAGCTAATAACAAAGACACAGCCATAAACCATTCCAGATAGAAAATTATTTGAATGTATCTGCAGCCAATGCCAGTGTCATGCATTTAGCTGCATACAACGGGACAGTGGATTTTGCTTATACTGTAGTTTGCATTATTAAAAAACTCAGTTTAGCTCAGTTTATAAAACATTTTCTTGGCATACAAGAAGTTCAAATCTCAATCTTGACTCAGATGCAAAAATGAAAAATTTTAGCTGAACAGAAGCTATCAATATAAATATTTTACAATATTGTTCTTAGCAAGACTAAAAGTAAGTTGCTATATCACATAAAATAAGACTTTTGGATGAAACTACACGCATATTCAGGTAAACAGCACAAAATACATAACTTTTTGTCATTGCTTGATGTGGTTAATATAAAGAAACTGACTGCACAAAAGTGTACAATAATATATGTCACTGTTTAATATGTTTAATAAAACTATAACAACTATTTGTCATTGATTTATATAATCAATATAAAAACTAATTAACAGCACAAAGGTCCACTATATTTTTCTGTCACGGTTTAAACTGGTTAATACGATAAATTAATTCAAGATGCCAAATACAAAAAAACACCATCAGACTTACCAATTTTAAGACTGAATATGACCTTCTCCTTCTCTTACTGACTCGTGCAGAATACTGTCGATTTTGAGATAGGTTTCTTGAAAAATTCTGGTCACTTTTTTTAGAACATGCTTCTTTGTTACTAGTATTTTCCAAGAATGATTTTTCCTCTTGACGACGCAAGTCCTCTAACTGGTTTTGAATTTTTTTATATTGTTCCAAAAGATCTTCATAGCTGGTTTCTTTACTTGAACCTTTGTTTGTGTGCTCATGATGTGGAAAACATGCTGTTTAGCTTCAGTCAAGGCAACATATACATACAACTATATGACAAATAAGACTTTCTTAAAAGAAATGGTGATATTTATAAAACAAAGCAATGCAATTTCATTACAAGATTCTGCAGCAAGAGTAATTTACTTCTGACTTTAATATTGTTAGGACATTGGGGTCACGTGACACTAGTAACATGTCACTGACTTCTAGAAATATCCTGTTCCTTCATGAATGCTCTAGTGTTTACTAGATATGTGTTAGTCTTGTATATATAAGACGGTCACAATGTGACGGCAACAATGTGTAATTGAACTGCGGAGAGAGAATATTGTTGATCACGTGAGACGTTCTTTGTAAACTATAGTGTTTGTTATAGCACGACTGTTGAAATTAAGTGTATCGCAAAGTTATGTTCAGAAAGAATAAACCAGTTTTATTTAAGAAAGGACTTGTGTCGCTAAAGTTTCGTCGGAAAGAATTTTTACGGAAAATTAACTAACGAATGGAGACGTAACAATATGAAATACGCACTGACTCTAAAAAAGATATTTACTACATTCATCAAATTTATATTTATTACTACATATTTTGGTATACTTTGGTGACAGATTTTCTTGTAGGCAGATTTTGTTAAAC